CTTATATTATTAGCTAGCAAAAAAAAAAATACTCTGATAATTTCAAATTAACTGAAAACGTGAAAAGAAATTGAGAGGGTACACACTAAGATGGTGGAAACAGTGATGATGATGGTGATGAAATAATGAATAATGAAGCTTTAAAATCAAAGACTAAACCGTAAACTTACAACAGGTGAATAAAGCAAAATTATCTTAACTATATTTTCGCGATTCTGGCTGGTTTTGTACCCTTTATTATTTCAAATTTCCATAACAGGAGTTTCGATTAATTGATGATGAGAATCTGAGTGCATGGTGCCTCACGATAAATTACAAAACTTGCAGAAATAATATGCACCTCCTTAACGACGGGGCCAGGGATAAAACGTAAAGGTATAGATATAGTCTGACAATTACTGCCGTATAAGTCTAACAGCAATCCGAGAGGAAGAAGAGTTAAAAAATAATATAAAAAAAAACACACACACATACAAACATGTGACGACATACCATGCCCGGAACAACCAAATTATATTCTTAACAAAAAATGGCGAGAAGTACTAAAAATTTATTGCGAAGTATTTATAGACATTTAAACTTCAAATTAATATAATTAATGGTTATATATTGAAAAGATGATCAACACATCGTCGTAATAAAGATCCTGTTCACGCGTCACTGTATTGAAAACTATACGAAAATAACACAAAAACATTATTTTAATGGCACATTGTACAGGCAAAAACCACTGTGTTTCACATGGTGATACATCAGTAACTTTATATTTAATATTTATACTGTTAGCAAAACCAAGGCGGTCCCGGCCTAGCAGCTTTGAAATATTAAGTTGTAGCACTACCGATGGTATTATAAATTGCCTACCCGATTGGTCTCGTAATAGAATATTCTACTTAAACAAGTATATTAAATAAATCCCCAATTGTTTCGTTCACACCTACCCAACCTGGGAACGTGGACTAACCACCAGAAATACAAGCGTTTAATTATTTTAATGAGTTGTTAGAAGTGAAAAAGAGGATGCTAGACAGAATGTTTGATTTCAATAGAAATTGCTACAATTCTTTCTTTCCGACCGTTGACACTAATTTACATCAATATTAACAGCGCGGAATCAGTTTGTCTGCCTGATACATTTTCAAACCGAAACTCCTTGGAAGACTGTGAAGAAATTCGATAGATTTGGTTGATTAATTGACTGAAAAAACTAAATCTTCAATTTTATTTATATAAATAAAATAAGCACCATCCATAGAGCACGTCGACTTCAATAGAGTAGGAAATGTATTTCCTTTCATTTAGAATAATTATGTTTATAAATAGTATATCATATTATAAGCACCACCATTTTATTTTGTAATTTAAATTCACGCTTATACTATTTTTAAATCTTATTAAGCTTGATGCATATATACTGTAATATAAATGACGCCCAAAGTGGAAAACCATTAATAATCCATCAAATAATAAACATATGCGAGCGAAAAAAAAGAAAGACTACTATTATTTTATTTACTAACGAATACACACAAAATACGAAGTATCTACTATGGGTGCTTTGATTACAATCAAAGCTTTGATTAGATATATAAAGTTACTATAAAAACAACTAATGAAGACATTCGATCTAGTAATCCTATTACCAGGTGTTACTTGGAAATATTATACAATAAAAAGTTACTTGGATAGATTTCTTATGAAAAACTCAAATGTACTGACACATAACTTGGACAAAAAATTCATCACTTGAAATCGGATAGAGTGATATTAAGGTTTTTTTTTTATTATCAGTATTAGTATAAATATTTTTTCAAGGAAAGCTAAATTGCAAAACTGAGAATCTAATAATATGTACTGTTTTATCGATATAGTTTTCAAACTTTCGTTGTTAACAAATCTAATGCTGTTATTTTGATAAGTCTCTTCACACCGAATTCCTTTGCTGAGTAGGTACAGAAAACTAAAGGACAAACGTCACTGCCTGCACGATCTTTTATACTTGATTCTCTTCTTTAATATTAATAACTTACTTATATCATCACCGTTCATTTTAATATAATCAATTTAATAATTAAAAATATATCTTAGCCTTCCTAAGCTGCCTTTTCTTTGAGGTTTCAAACGATGGAATACCTCATATATAAGAGGCAGAATTTTATTATATTTACTTATATTTTTTAACTCATCCCGAGTCTTGTTGTAATATGCCGCTAACCTTTTGAATTCCAGTTTCTATTCAAGACAATACCAGCTTTAGTGACGTGAGGAGTCTTGAAATAACATATTCCTGTATAATAAGCGCTACAAAGAAACTCGTTAACTTTAACAGCTTGTATTTTTAGCACTGAGGTCCCATTAAACATAAACGTAAACAAAAGAATAAGTTCTTGCAGAAACTTCCTTATAAATGACGGGACCCTTCAAGGTTGCTTTTTAATTTTATAATTAACATTCTTAAAATACTTCCTGCCTTTTTGTTCACTGGTGGAAGAAAGTAACCAAACATGGAATAAAATCCCTAATATGGAATATTGAAATTCCTTTTTAATTTATACTGTTATGGGATTGTAAATTGTCAACAAGTCTTATTTCCAAGTGTATTGAAGTCTGAACAAACAAATTTGGAAATAAATTTCCGTATTTCGTATTTGGGTAATTATTTATTTATTTTGGTTCTCTAACAGTGAGCACAATGTTATTAAATTATATTATATTATCAAAGATATAAGCTTCTTGACCACAATTTAATAACCTAGGATAATAAATTATAATATTTCCAAAATTTCCATTACAAAAATAAGAAGGAAATAAAACTCAAGCAGTGATGTAAAGATAAATAAAAAGATATCCAAACTTCATCGATCACATTCTCTAGGTTTACACATTTTCCATCCTTTTTCATGTTATAAAGTGTTTTAATTCTCTTTGGTCATAGATATTTTTCTCTGTGGTCATAAAACATCAAACAAGAACCATAGAATGTCGCTTTAACAAAATTACAGTGAATACTTGTAACAAATCAAACATATCAAAGATAATATTCAAACGCCTTGAAAGATTTTCATTTAGTAGTCTTGAAATAGAACAGAACCTCAGGAAAGGATTGTCCACGATTTACTTGCGTTTGCTACGTCATCTTAGTAAGTAAAACTATCTATTTATGTAGCTTTAATAAAATATACATATTTGTTTTAAAAATCTTACTAATGTGTATTTACTAAGTTACACAGTTCCAACATCATCTCCATTAAAATAATGGTTACTTACATTGTTAAAAATACAATTTAATATATCTGTTCTCGCTTCATAAAAGACCCTGAAATATATACCAAGAAACCGCAACCTCTCGGTTTATGTTTTAACCTTAATTAGGTACTGATTAGACGCTTCTAACAAGAGATTTAAAAATTTATTTATTAAAATCGATGTCCATTTCATAATAAAGGTTCTAATTTTATTATGCAATTATATTTCTAAAAAATATTTCCATCGATTCCCTCACTCGTTATATCGGCTTTTCTTAACATCTGTATTATAATGCTTACTCGCCTACTGAATCGTACCTATCAATTTAATATATAGCGCAACGCTCAGTTTCATTAATATTTGACCAAACAAAAACATTTATTTATTTTCCGTAATGTATTGTTATGTTCTAATTTCGATAAAATATTCGTGTTCCCACAGTATTTATAAAAAAAAACTTCATAAAGGCAAATTTAATCAAACTCCGTACATTTCAGACACCGCTTTACAAACCATTACATTACTTACCGTAATTTTTACACTTTTTCTTGTTGATTATTAATTGGAGTAATAATACCGTACCTAGAACTTCTTTCTTAGTTAGTCGCTAATATGTAATATACGATTCGATTACGATTATTATTACCTTGACGTTTCCTTCACGTGCGTGTTGTTTTATTAGTATATACAACTAATGTATTATCGTCACCCTAGCGTAACGTCCTTCAGAAACTCTCAATTTGCACAAATATCTTATCAAAACTCCATATTTTTTATAATCAAAGCAGTAATTAACGACACAGGTAAATAGTTAAATTGCTTAGATTTTCAGTCATGATAACTCCGAGTTATAATTGCGTTCAGCAAGCTCATCTCTTAATTAAAGTCAATTTATATGAAAATTGTGCTAACTTATAGAGATTACCATATGCAAAAGCAAAATAATATTATTAGCACATTTTCTTTATACATAACACATTTGTGCAATTTTCAATGTTTGCTATAAAAAATATTTTTCTAATCAAATTAACCAACGTCGAGACAGCTAAGAAAATAATGGTACCAATTCTGAATTTATTGTTATTTTCTTTTATATATCTTATTATTCTTATTATTCTGTGTAATTCTTTTTTTATGTTATCAAAATGAATACACATACATGGCAAGTGTTAAATGGCCTTCAGCATTTATATTATTGATATATCCTAAAACGCAGCTGTTAGTTTTCTTTAAAATAAATAAAAATGCGTTTTAAATTCTAAGCTAACAGAAGTATTTGTAATGTAACTGTTAGAATACGGGAGTATCTATAATGTAATTCTATTGTTTTATTTGATGTGAGTTTAGAAAAAGGTTGAAACTGGTTGAAACAAGTCCAAATTAAAATTGGATGTTTACTGTTCAGTTTCGTTGATAGTGGTAAATCGGATTCGGCACAAATATATCATTTAATTCAAAAACACATTTAATCGTAGCGAGAAAATATAACCCCTCACACATGATGGAAATTATTCAATGGTCACATAAGAATGCGATATGTTCTTTTTTAATTCTTTCATAGTTTCAAGTCAACAGTAAATTACATAATTATGTGACGACAAAGTTTCGTACTATTTGAAATAGCTTCATGGTCAAGCATTGTATACATTTCTAACAGTACACGTGACGAAGCTATAATAATTATGACACTAAATATTTTCCCAGAAATTTACTCGGAAGCTACGTCGAAATATGGTACAATATCAGCAACTCACCGTAGCGGCAAAGATTGTCACGAAACGGTGCATTTCAACTGATTTATCTATCACAATATTGCTCACACGCAACTTTAGAACAAACGAAAGAGCCGTCTGCGCATCTCATATATAAGAGGGCAGCCTCCGATGACGTCACTCCCCGCACCCCGCTATCAGCAAACCCGTTTGTGCCATCTTCACTATTCCAAAAACACATTTCGAGTACATTGCCTTTTCTGCTTAACTTTAGGTTATCATAATGTCTTATAACCACGCAGTGTGTTGCAACAGAATTGTTTTAAGCTTACCTTATTAACAACACCTCAAGATGTCCATTTGTCTAGGCTGCGTCTGTTATGGTTGTTACAATGCTTTATAAACGACTATTACTTGATTTTTCACGGTACATGATAACCAACGATGGGACATCGTCCCATAAATCACAAGTGTGTCATTCACCTTTGTTTTTTCCTAACAAAACCTTCAACTTTATTCTTACTTACGTTTATGACTATACATGCTGTTTCAAAATAGACATTTAATCAAATTTAATTCATAAAATTATTTTGACATTCATAACTTAATTTGTGATCTGATTTCCTTAATAAACTTTACTCAAAACCAAATAAAATATGTCAAAGATCAATAAAATTATTTGTAAACACACTCTCACTGACAGGTACGAATAGTTTGTATAGGAAAATAAAATTATTACTTTTTATTATTTTTTCGTGTTTTCTCGCCTTTTTAACATTCCTTGGATTTCTACAAATGTTTCAAAACCAAAATTTAACAAATTGATCTAATCTTCAGTTAAAAGTCCAAGAAACGTCAGTTGATGTTTACATGCACAGATTCAATTAATTTTCCGATGACGTTAACTTACAAGTAAGGGTGAATTATACTTAAAGAATTCTAAATTTAATTCATTATTAGTTAATATTTATTTACCATCAATATCTTTGTAAGCAGATACTTCATACACAGAACCTGTTTGCATTTAAATACTTGTGTATTGTACTTGAGTAGTTCGTACATAGAGCCAAAGAAGCCGAGCTGTTATAAAACTGCACACAGTTTGATAGCATCTAATGGCTGCTAAACACAAAGCAGGGCGCCTAGCCGTCCCGTCACAGTCTATAAGCAAATCGCAGTATACCAGCCCAGTTGCTTAGAGATAGGGATAATGCACACTAGTCAACGGCGTTCAACGATTTGTCCATACATAAAGAGCGTGAAGTATGGAACGACGTACGGATCTTTTCGCGACACATATAACGAAAACGCTTTGGTGATAGATTGACACGAAAACAATTAATCGGTCTTCTTTTTTGATTAATTAGTAACAAAATACAAGAAAAAGTTGCTATTTCGACAAACACAATATAAAGGTTTCCATGTTGTTTGTGATGATGCTGCATACAGAGATGAACGTCATCTTACGCTGCGTGCGAATGCATACGCATCGATATAGCTGCGTATAAACGCAAATGCCTCCGTTTCAGTCAGCAAAGTGTGTACCGACTCTTATGAGACTGCGCAAAGGCTGGCCGCGTAGGTAACAATCGCGCAGCCACGCTGAACTACGTGTGTAGCAGACATAAAACAACTGCAGATGTAGGGCAAGAATATAAAAAAATAAATAGGTGTAAAGACCCGCTACCTAAGAAACCAAGTTGTTTACAAATGTTGAGTTTAGGACTGCTTCTCTCGTTGAAAAATATATTTTACTAGGACATAGTTTATATGTATCTATGCTAGAACGGTGCATAAAAACTTTAATATAATTTATTAATTCAATTTAATAGAAAAATTCATTCAAATTCTTTTAGTCTAAAAAATCTCAACGTTTATCAACATATAAGTTATAATAAGTAAATTATCTGCATTTTCATACTTTATATGAACTTTTTAACATATATTAAAAGCTTTTTATGGTATATATTTTATTCTATAAAGGATATTTTATAAAGAAAATTGTATTGTTTGTTTGTTTTCATTAAATAGGCTCCAAAGCTACAGGAAGCTACATCATAAGCGGGTGACATAGGCTCAGTTAGTTTCTAATAAATAAACTTTAAAGGGTTTTATCGCGTGTATTTTTAAATTAAAACGTTCTGGACCTTTTACAGGTGAACACGGAACCTGTAAAGGAACCTTATAAAATCATTTAAAAGTAGGTAGTTTTATTTAAGGCCATATTAATAGCGAATCATCCAGCCATAAACAAATTGCTCTCTCTCTCTCTGAAAAAGCTCGCATTTTATTATATTTCGTATGGCAAGACCTTATTCAAAAGAATCTATGACTTTTTTTAAATTAAACTTACTTAAGAATATTTTGAAGTTGAGTGGAAATTTTGTGTAGGTTCCTATTGAGCAACCGCCTATTCATTGATTATTTAAACTTTTTTTGAACTGATTTTCTTATCTATTAGAGTATGTTGAAATACATACAACAATTTGATTATATCTGCATTTCAACTTTATCGATATTATAATTTTCCGCCAATGACAGTGCCTTACGAATTTTCAGTAAATCCTCACCGGTTGACTGGTAGAGAATGCCTCCGGAATTAATTTCGATTGCTTTGAATTATTAATTAAGAATAAATAACAAATTTATTTCTCTACATTTAGGCACTGCATGACCAAGTAGGTGGACCATGGCCAGATAGAAATTTGTCTACTGATCCCAATGAGGAAGTTTTATAAAAAAAAAACATTAGTTCCCGAAATCAAACTAGATGTCACTGCGGTACGTTCTTGATTTCTCCATGACAAGCTTTCCGGTTTTCTTTCAAGTTAAACGTAAATTAGTTTTTAAAACTCAATAAACAACTCATATCCTATTTGTACTTTTTCGTATTTGTATTGATATCTAAGTTTCCAACTTTTCAAATTTCTTTTTTTTTATTATGTTAGTTAAAAGGAACGGGAATAACTGTCTTTGGTCCATTCGTTTCCTGCAAAAATCAACTTTTACTAGAGTCGCCATCTAGTGGCGGTGCTTTTTTAGTGCTTTCGTTCTTTTTAATAGTTTCTCATTACTGCACGATTAAAAATCACCGGTTAAGAGAGTAAGAAACATTAGGGAATGATTGTATTTCTTAATTATTTTCCTTTAATGCAATAAAAAGTATTTAATTAATTTCACTCGTCCGGACAGGATAAATGTCAATCAGGTATCTGTGATTAATATAACCCTTCAAACGCCACTTCCTAAAACTACAAATATATCCATGACATCATAATTGCGTATCATTACACCTCTTGACCAGTTAATAACTCTGAGTCATCATTATGAAGATGATACACAAATAATACGACATATTATGAGAAAATAATAACATGTCGAATGGTATATTAATAATTATTATACTACGCAAACTCTATGTTTTGAATAGGATTTTTTTCTTGACAAAACATACAAAGAATAAGCATAATTGATTTATTATTTTTTATTATTTGTTATTGTAATGTGCAAGCTTTTTTAGAGTTCATGTATCAATGAATCTACGTCTTTAATATGTTTTTCTAACAGATTATCGAACATGGAAATGAAAAAACCGCTTTAGAAAACAAAAGCGACATGCTTTTTCTTAATGTAGCAGAATGATTGGTAGGATTTACTGAAAATTTATGTTTTTAATTTTAAGCTTAAAAACAAGCTTTTATTTAAATACCTACATAAAAGCTTGTTTTAAATGCCTACATAAAAACTTGTTTTTAATTTTATTAGAGATGAAGTTTGTATGGAAGTCCATCATTTTCAAAGGATACTATGAAATTATATACTAAGCATAAGGCACTCGACAAGATATTAATATTTCTTTTGGCGTTTTTAAAATTGCTGCCCAAAGTAACCATACCATGTGGTCGCAAACAAAGACTGATTTTCATTTGATTGATAATATTTTTTGTTTACAAATTATGAATCCCTTATGGAGTAATAGTTATTGTGCAATTCTAGATTATTCCCAAATTTCTAATTTTAAGTTTCATTCCATCTCTACAACGCAATTACGTGCATACTGGTACAAGTCTTGTTCAATTACAATATTCTAAATAGGAGGAATTCACTGTTAATTTGAAGATTATTGATTTATAATAAAATTTGTTTTCAAGATTTAATCAATGATATTTAAAATTTCTAGGTCTTTCATTATACTAATAATTTATAAATGATTTTATATAATAGGGCCCTTTAAAGTAACAACGACATTATAAACTTTTCAAGTTTAGGAAGGAAAAAATGATAGTAGGTTGAAAAATAACAAATCAAATGATTTCCTATTGTGCAAAATAAAAACATCAAATAATTATCGTAAAAATGTCAGATCATTTCTGACTCACGTATTTATCTTTCAATCTCTGAAACCTCTTTAAATTGTAGGAAATATGTTTTTTTTTTCAAGAAAATTAAAACGTATTATGAAGATCGTATTTGATTAAAGTTCAATACACGCATTACAAAATTTAATTTCAAAAGTGGGTGCTCTATATTCTTGATTCGTAGAATTTAATGTTCCAAAAGTATTAATTATTATATAATATGTCATCGAAGAGATTTTTTGGAGCCGAGTCGGGTGAACTAGTCTATACTAATATTTATAGAAGAAATATTTGAATGTTTGTTTATTTGTATTGAATATGCACCAAAACTACTGTTCGGATTTTAAAAATTCTTTCACTTACGGCATCTACTATGCCTACGGGAAGCTACATTGTACGAGGGTGATACGAGTATACATGTGCCCGTTTTCACTAAACTTAGGAGGCGCCCAAATCTGACACCTAAATATTTGGGCATTGTCTAAGGTGAAAATGCGTTTCACTAATGATAACGGCTTTAAGCAACGTTTAAAATTAAAAAAAATAATAAAGTAAATTATAAGACTTATTCAACTCCTTACCGGCTGTTCTCTCGCGAATTCGTTCGCGCAAATAAAATTTAGCCTATGTCACCTGCGCATGATGTAGCTTCCAGTTACGTGAATTATGTTTTAAAATGGGTTTAGTAGTTCCTATAATAGTTATTTATCCTTATATAATAGTTATTGTTCCTATAATAGTTCCTATAATAGTTAAATAATAGTT